CTCTCTCTACCTCTCTCTACCTCTCTCTACCTCTCTCTACCTCTCTCTACTTCTCTCTACTTCCCCTTTGTTTCTCTCATTCATTCAAGGTACACGTGTATACACATCCTTCGCATACGTCTACTTTTCCTCCTCCTTGTTCCTTCTCTCCCTCTCGCTCCCTATCTATTTATGTACATAGTTACTTGATATTTGAACTACGTACACCTACGTACTTACATAGTTATTCCTCTAAAATAGTTTACCTAGCTACGTAGCTGCCTAGCGAGCAATTTAGCTAGCTAGGTAGCCAACTAGTTGACCAGCCCTCAACTGTCCTGTTCCGATAACGTTCGGCATGGCAAGAGCTAAATATACTTATGTACACAGGAAAGGACTGATAGAATATTTTCAATTCGAAATGGCAGAGCGGCGATAAACGTTCGAATTAGTACGATAAAATCTAGGTGAAGTGTTTTGCAATCACACGTCATTGAAGCAATATTTATGTTTCGACGGATATTATCATATTTCAAGATATTCCTGACACGCGGCAGGCGCGCAAGGTTATAAAAGTTACCGTCCGCTCTGTACCGTATTATTGCTGGCTTATGAACTGCATGCACAGAATAAATTCGTCTTTCTTGAGCGGAAGAATTGTAAATATGCGGAACGGCAAAACGAACTTGTTTGAGCGGAAAACAGTACTTACAATCGTACCGTTCTCTACTCTACATCGTACTATTTATGTAATTAGCTTTAATGAACACTTTGCGTATCGAATTACGAATAAAGATTCAACTCGCAGCCTTGTAAAAAATCTTGGTTCCTCGTCTAGTCTTGAAGCGCAGAATTCACGTGACGCGATCGTCGAATCATTTTGTCGGTATATCACGAGAGTCGCAAAAACATAACTGCGATGTAACGTAGCAATTGGATCTGAAATTTACCCGTCAAGGTCTCACATTAATTACCGATTAAGTGCTTGCGATTGCAATCGTAACCATAACTGTAACCATAAGTATTGTCGTCAATTCATGTACGCGAGGATACTCGTGCTGTACGCATTAAACGCTGAACAATACACAGCAGAGTAGTCGAAAATTTTCAGTTTCAGCTTAGCCTCGTTACGCCTTTCCTTTAGACTCGGCCAGGTTCGAGTCCAACTGTGTGTGTGTGTGTGTGTGTGTGTGTGTGTGTGTGTGACGTCCAGCTCCAAAATATGCGCGAGTTAATACGCAAACGCCCGTTTCTACGGCCGTTCATTGTATTTCGCAGAAGGGTAGTTTGCCGGTTAATTCCTTGGTCTGTTCCTGATCTTGACTGTTTGCCCCCTCGCTTTTGGGACTACCTCCATCCTCTAGAGAGCCCCCACCACTTCCGTGAGGGCAAATTGATTGTCATCTAAGCGCCAGAGTCGAAATCATCGGTGGCCGGGACGGTTTGTTGTCGAGTATTCTCTCAATTTCGTTCATGATATTTGCATTCAGTTTGGGAATTAGCTGAAACGGCGGTAATTGTTCCTTAGCGATCAAGAGAGAGGTTACCTGTACCTGCGATCGAACGTTACCTGTAAACTTTGAAGACTCTCGTACAATTGATCTATGTTTGATGCACCGAGTAGAAGGCACTGAACACTTTCATTCTTTAAGGACCACGCGATGGCCAACTGTCCGAACGAGCAGCCCAGACGTTCTGCGAGAGCGCACACGTCTCGTAATTTGTCCGAATACTTTCGTGTTTCATCCTCGCCGGACTTTTCTTTCCAACCGTATTCCTGCTGAAACAAATTCTACGTTGAGTTCCCTGCGCTGCTACGCAGTGACAATGGAATACGTACTTCTTTGTACAAGGACTGCGTTTCGTCCTCTGTCCAGCTGAACGAGGAATACTTATTCTGCGAACATTCACGATAGAAAAGTCTGTGGTTTAGAACACATTTGTCAAGACGGCAGGATGGCGTTGCACAGTCGATTCGGTTAACGGTAGGTAATGCGGATATGTGACATTACCTTGTAAGAAGACCGCGATAAAAACGACACTCCGTAATCTTCTGGTTTCGCGGAAACCATACCAATCGTGACCGTGGACCATGCCATCAGACCGACACCTGCGAAAACGATAGTTTGATTACAGCAATACGTATCCGTACAGACACACGCGCACCCAACTGAAAAATTCCATATTTACCCACCTATTTTGTTATACAACTCTGGCATATAAAGTTCTGGTTTTTCCCTATAGAATAAATGATATTCGGCTTGTTCCACAATCGGTGTGACACAATTGAATTGACGACAATTCGTATAAGCTTCCATAATTTCGACCGGAGTCCAACGAGACGTTCCCCAATACATTACCCATCCTTTACTTATCACGTAATTCATTGCGCGCACTATCTCTGAAACAAGGCAAGGAACCAGAACACAACGACACAATCAAACACCTCCTCGAAACGAATGAGAATCACTAGCTACGTCCAACCAACGAACCTTCCATTGGGCACATTGGATCAACTTTGTGGATCATTACTATATCGATGTAGGAAAGCTGCAATCTGACCAACGATGCCTGCACCGATTCAATGATGTGTTTGCGCGATAATCCACGGCCCTCTGCCCTATAATCCACTCATATTTAATCTTGCTCGTGACAGTTGTCTCATACTCGACACACTTGGATCACTTACTTGGTATTCCAATATATTTTAGTAGTAACAACGTAACTGGATCGATTCCAAGCACGTCTCAATAAAATTCGACCAAACTGAATTTCTGCTCTGTGCCCGCTGTGCGCTTCGCTCAAGTCGAACACATTTATGCCGCTGTCATAGGCGAGCGCGACTACTGCTTCAGCAGCCTCTTCGCTACTGCAACCTCCAATACCAAAAGTGGTCCATGTACCTAAGTGTATCGAGTAATATTTACGTCATTAGATAATCCACTGAGCGACTTGTTATTGTGATAATCATCACCGTCATTTTCATTATTATTCTAGTATCACGATTCTTGTTGTGTTTGTAATTGTAATTGGTCTCGTATAATATATGGCAATAAATTGATCCTCGAAACGATATTACATACCCCGTTTTGTATTTTTGAACGCTTTCAATTCTACGTAAACGGATCGTGGAATGATAACGGTACATGCGCAAACTTACCTATCGTTCTCTACGGTTACAAATGATTGCGAGTATATAGGAAGAATACGAAATTTCATGTTACTTTTACGTAATTCTCCGATCGCTTTGTTTTACTTTTCACTTTAATCTTCAATTTAGTCTCCTCTTCTAGCATCAACTCCTCCTATTCTTTCTCCTGTCTAACTTGCATTATTTACTCGCTACATGGAAATACAAGTCTGTACTAATTAAGAATAAATTGCGATGGATTTATTTGCTTCCGCTTACCTTGTATTACAGTCGTTCGCAATCTTTGTGTTAATTTGAAGTTTGCTGTTTACGCGATTTCAAAAATTTTCAAAGATAAATCTGACGTATTACCTTTGAACAGCTCACCGGTCCCGTGATGCTCGCAAGGGAAGAAATGTAAAGCCGATGGTCGTGCGCGACTACAATCATTCACGAGGTTCTTTGAAATAGATACGCGTATGGATGGATAAGAAGCAAGGGAAGATATCAAGGTAAAACGATGGACGTGCGTAGATACGTACCAAACGGGTAGAAACGCAACAATGAGAAAAGCCGTGAGACATCCCACGTACGTGTAAAGGGTACGATAAAGAATCGTGAAAATGGAGTATCCCGAGTTATTGTGAAAATTTCTAACGAAAATTCCCAATGAAAATGAAATACGACAGACAGCCGATCGAGGAAGATGCTATTATTCGAGCAGTTCGGGTGAAGCGTACATCGAGATGAAATAAAACGGTCGGATAGCCATGACTCTGTTCGGCTCTACGAAAGTGGGGGAAAACATTCAGCGTACCTAATCCAACATTGGAAACACGTAGACCGCTTTTGCCCAAGTTGCGGTAGCGAATACCTGGCGAAGGATGCTGTAAGCGTTGCGCTTGTGCGGCAATGCAGTTAGTCAGTAGCTGTTCCTTCGTTCCAGCGGTATTGCTGCAGTGCACACCAGTATCCACACCGCCACCGCCAACACCACCGCCACCGCCACCGCCGCTACCACCGTTGAATTCTTCCATACAATCCAGACTCGCTATAGGTGCACGGCAGCTGCGCGCACAAAGTGTACAAAGTATTAATAGGTTACGATCGATCGAATGCTCGATACAACCACGCAAACCTTAATGTCTATCCACTTGTGGTACATATACATGTCATTTTCGTTAAATTCCATTTACCCGATGCGTGCGCGTGTGCGCGTCTATGCGTCTATGCGCCTATGTATCTGCGTTCTCATTATGAATCGACTGAAACTATGTAGGATCATAGGAAAGTGCATGGAAAGCTTAAATCGCTCCGTTAAGAAATTTTCTTCCTGTTACGCTTCGTTTTCGATTCAATTCAACTTGTGAACTGGCATGGCTGCTTATTATTCACTGTATTCCGTTTAAAATAACATCCAATGGGGTAATTTCAATGTTTGCTACAAGCATTCGTGGAAGTAGAATTAAACACGATGAATCGCGAAATTATTCGCGTAGCAGATTAACATTTATTTCTCCGGAAAACAAGATTCTAGACGAAACAATCGAATTCGCCGTGTTCACTTTGTTTTCGCCGTAAAATTGTTGCTTTCGCGAATGGAATGGAAAATGTTTCGACGCATCCTGAATGTGTCTGGTAGTCGCGGTAGAAAGGAGGAAGGAAATATATAATAGAATAGTTACACGTTTGTGGATCTATCGTACGTACAAATATCGAATCGATGACATGTGTCATTATTATAACATCACGATAAATTGCTATTACCATTATCGAGATTACGGTAAGTAGATGGGATTTCGTTTCCAATAGTCGATTGCATCAAACATATATATATATATATATTTCCATATATTTATGCACCCATGTAAAGTAGTCTAGGAACTGGATTCAATTCACGTACCTACGCGCGACTCGTAGATTTCGAGAATATCTAACGCGATGGTGGATTTATCGCGATAGGCACGACCCGACACGTGCGTCCACGCACATGGAAGCATCGAGGCAACAATGTTACGGTCCTCGTAGCAATTATGCACAGCTCTTGGTAAATGATTTCATTTTTTTCAATAATTACAGCAATAACTATGTTCAAGATCGAGGCATGGAAATCTTCGATGGACACGTATACAGAGGAATTCTTTCATCCGATTCATGGTTCGTCGATTGATCGTCGCATTGGATGAAATGAAATGAGAAAACGAAAAGAAATACAAGTCGGTAAAGTTCCACTTACCGATAAATTGTAGGCAGTGGATAATAGTCGTCATCTTCCATACTACTGTTTGTATTCGCGTTGTTGTTCGTATCATTTCCAGCCGTGGACGTATTACCGAGATTACACAACATTAAACGGGACATTGTGTATTTAGTATTTTGAAATAGTATTCCGCAAGGCTTTAACCGTTTCCGAACAAGTGATAATTTTTCCAAGATCGAAGTAGAGACCAACGATGAACCTACTATGACTTGGACAATCGGATTGTGAAGTAACAAAGAAGCATCAAATCATTCGGACGCCATCCGATCGTTAAACGTGTACACGAAGCAATTCGATCCGACAATCCGGTACCTCGTAAAGTCATAAAACAGTTTGATATATTTATTGCGCGTTCGTTATATAGGCACTAATTTTTCTTTACTTAAGTTATTTAGGCACCACAGTAAAGAATACAAGTACAGTTCGAAACTATTCTGGTACGCAGCGATAGGACGTTGTTGTGACCTGTTCAAGTCGGCTCGATCACTACACTTTGCGAAAATCAGTGCACAAAACTCCACTCGTTAAAAGCAACGTGCCGTTATGTACATACATACGTATAAACGAACAATGATCGATATGAGTTTCGATATGTGATGGGATT